GTCTATGGCACTACTCTTTCTATCACTACTGGCGCAGTGAGGGCTGTCCCCACTCGCAACACCTGCCACTTATGGGCGACGGACCCATACCTGTGATCATCATAATGTCGGCCTACCTCTTATTTGTGACCCGACTCGGGCCGTGGATTATGTCCAGAAGACCAGCGCTTGAGCTCCGGGGTCCTATGCTTACCTACAACACAGTTATGGTTGCAATGAACGCCTACTTCTTCTTCAAGTTTATATCACTGTCACAATACGGACGGGTGTTTGCGAACTTCCAGTTCCCCTCCAAGTATGACAACTCTGAGCGCACTCATGCCCTCATCCTAACCACATACCTGTACTCTGTATCTAAATTCATCGATCTCTTGGACACCGTATTCTTTGTGCTGCGCAAACGGAACCGACAGGTGACTGGCCTACACCTGTACCACCACACCATTGTACCACTGCTGGCGTGGATGACAATGAAGATCATGCCTACCGTTCCCGCCTTCCAAATCTTCGGTATACTTAATTCACTCGTCCATACGATTATGTACTCGTATTACGCGCTGTCGGCGTTTGGACCCAGGATTCAGCCCTACCTCTGGTGGAAACGCTATATCACCCAGGTCCAGATCATTCAGTTTGTCATATTTATCACCTATTCCATACTGTTGGGCAAATACCAACAAGGATACCCCCAGATTTGGTTATGGGTTGGATTTATTCAGAGTCCAGTGTTTTTCTATATGTTTACCAATTTTTATATCAAATCCTATTTGAAGGCAAAACTCAAAAGTAAAACACATTAATGTGACTATTGGTGTCATTTTTGTCTACAAAGTTATTGTGATTTTTCAATGCCTCTCATACTGTCCATTGTATTGAAACAGTTTATGTTTTTTACATATATTTATAAAATAATTTATTTGTAAATTTAGTAATTTTTACTTCATTGTCTGTATTTATTGATTTGTGTTTTATGTTAATTTAATTAATCACTTTTATTTTAATTATTATTATAGTTCAATATGTATATTATCAATAAAAACTGATTGCAATGTATTGGTGTTTTTGATTATTCTAGCAAGTAAACATTGAATTTATTATATTTATAAAAATATGAATTTTATAATAACTTATGGCTCTTATGATTAAAACAAGTGCTCTTATAATTATTTGTTTATTTTAAACATTACACAATTTATTGATGGGTACCTGGGTACTAAAGTAGTTTCCATGAACTC